GGTGTTTGACCTCTCGCTCAGGTTGCTCTGTATTATTCCTCCTGCCAACAGTATCCCGACCAACTGCGGACATGTCAACATCCAGTGAATGCAGGTAAGGTGAAAAACGAATATAATGCGCCAGATTCGCTGCTACAGCATAACAGACCTGCCAAATCAATATCCTACATCATACCAGACTGTCTAAATGAAATCTTATTGTGAAAAAATATGGGATTACATTCGTTAGCAGTCGCGTCGCTTTTTATTTACATCCCTCATCATCAAACAGGGATTTATATCATAGATCAACCTGAAGAACAAAACCGATATGCTTAACAACGCAGTCTCACATCCTAAAGAGGATTTTTAGTTCCCCAAGTGTTTGGATGGCGATAGTTTATTCTTCATTCACATTCTTCCACTAGTATGTGCCCTCCAGTTCCACTGTAAAAAAGAAAATTTGTTGCCGATTAGAAGCTCGAATTAAATTTTTAATAACATATTATCTATAAAATCGCTATAAAATCAGCTACTCGTTACGGTTACGTAACAGAATCCTGCTATTCATCTTTGTGGATGCGCCCAGAATAATACGCAGCTCTTAACGTGACAGGCTTCGCTATAAAAGCTGTGGAAAAACAGCTATGAGAACCGTCCCAAATGAGGACATCAGGGCTGTTGGCAGACCTTGTCAAAGTAAAAAAATAATAATAATGGGCAGCGCTGTGATTGTAAAATAAGAGGCCTATTGTGCATTCTCATTGAGCGTTATGGAGTCACGTAGTGTTTGAAGCTCCGAATGGAAAGTGCTGATCCCGCAACGCCTTGCAGCACCACGGACAGCGCATGCTTACAGCTCTTCCTACCCGATATTTTCTCAGCTATGAAAGACTTTCTGATTATAAATGTGGGCAGTCCAACTATTAAAGCAATTCAGTATGAATGGGTCATTTTTGTTTCAGTTTCAAAAGACTATACAATAATTCAGAGTATGACGGTGCTTCATGTTAGTTAAATAATACAGACACTTTTTGACAACAAGAAAGCATAATGTCATAATGACTAACAGCCTAAAAGACTACAAGTGAATTTTGAACTACCTACGCTGAAAAGCATCACATAAACCTTAGTCATGGGAACGCCATATTTAATTTTTGACAGGAGTGAAAACGAGGCTGTGTGTACTGTTGTTTAACACGACTGTTCAGCTGACGATATATATATATATATATATATTTTTTTTTTTTTATTATAAAGGATGTGGTGGAAGACCAAACTTGAAATTCACTATAGCATCTATAAAGACAGCCTTCAGTGTGGAGCTAGCCACAGCCAGACAGACCTTCTTCTCAAACCTTATATGGATTTATATCTACTCCATTGGTCGTCCATTAGTCTTGTATGGTAACATGACCAGCAGTTATACAGTAGCTCACACTCGCAGACAGATACTGGAAATCATTTACTACAGCGATTGTTCAGGTAAATGACAGTCAAAGAGATAATTCAACATACTCCAACACAATAGCATTGCAAATGACAAGGATCAATAATTATAAAATATAATATGTATAAAAAAACAAAACCTTTTTGTTACTGTAGTACTGTATATACTTTTGCTTCTCTATTCTACACTCTTAAAAATAAAGGTGCTTCACGGTGCCATAGAAGTACCTTTTTGTTTAAATGGTTCCATAAAGAACCTTTAACATCTGAAGAACCTTTCTGTTTCACAAAAGGTTCTTTGTGGAGAAAGAAGGTTCTTCAGATTATAAAAAGGTAAGAAAGAGATGGTTCTTTAAAGAACCTTTGACTGAATAGTTCTTTGTGGAACCAAAAATGGTTCTTCTATGGCATCGCTGTGAAGAACCTTTTGAAGCACCTTTATTTTTAAGAGTGTAAATACTGTTTTCAATTGACTTGCTCACTCTGAAAGCAACTTGATTGGATCACTGTACTTGACAGGTCATTTGACATTTGCATGTGTGTGTAATACAGATAATTCTGATACCTCCTTATTTCATAACCAAGTAGGAAATTAGTCAGACATTATCCAGCAGTTTGTCACTTTATTATGACATGGGTGTTTTTTGATGCATGACCGACACCAGCCCCACTAAGGAAAAAATTAAGCAAAAAACATGTTTTGTTTCTATATAGCTACAGCTATGAGGACTACAAAGACACCGCGGACTGGCTGCTTGCTAAGACAGATATCAGGCCCAAAGTGGCAATTATCTGTGGTTCAGGACTCGGTGGATTGGCTGACCTGCTGGACAACAAGAAAGTGTTTCCTTACAACAAAATCCCCCGCTTTCCCCATAGCACAGGTGTGAGATGTTAGATGTTCAGAGAATTTATTTCATAATCTATTCACTGACTACACAAAAATTAAAAAATGTGTCCTTTATCATTTCACTGCTATTATTTGGTTATTGTTTGCATTAACAAACATTTAATAGTCTACCTCATGCCTCTTTAGTGCAAGGACATAAAGGTCAGCTGGTGTTCGGAGAGCTGAATGGAAAGCAGTGTGTTTGCATGCAAGGCCGCTTCCACTTCTATGAGGGCTATAACATTGCCACAGTAAGTATCATGCTTAAAATCTCAAAGGGAAAATTGAATTCTCAATGGATAAGGCATACTATAATATTGCACCAGTCAATCTCCCACCTGTAGTTCACAAGAAAAAGTATGAGCATAGAACAAAATCAGAACATGGAAAAGCATATGGGATTGGATAGAAAATCTGGGGGTGGGGGGAAGGCACACTGTCAGTTGATGATTTAAACATCTTGGTAACACAAATCTGAAAAAATGTACAATACTCAATCCTTTAAAAATGGACAATTTAGACAGACGGGGAGGAGGGGATACAGTTATAGCCTACTATATGGTTTTGATGACATATATCAGATCATATTCAATCTTTAATTTCCTGTTTCATAAAGAGGAGAACAGTTTTGTCACAGCGGCTCTAAATCTTATACTATTGTTCTGTTTTAGGTCACATATCCAGTAAGAGTGTTCTTCCTACTCGGGATTGAGACTCTGATTGTGACCAATGCTGCTGGAGGACTCAGTTCTAAATTTAAAGTGGGAGACATCATGTTGATCAAAGACCATATCAATATTCCTGGCTTTGCAGGCCAAAATCCCCTGTGTGGACGCAATGAGGAAAGGTGAATTGCTATGCAGTACAGTAAGATGTTTAATGTGTTATTAAAACCCAATCATATAGATTTGAGATCATTTTTTTATAATTATAATTAAAGAAACCTAATTCTACCTAACACCAGAATTTGAAGAAAAGCATTTGGATGAGTTCTTTTGATTTTTGACTTTGTTTTTAACAGTTCTGTCTTCGTTCTGCTATTAACCTTGGTATATAATCTTACAAGCATTTCTCTAATGATTTCTGCAAGCAGTCCAATGTTCACTGACATTTGTGTTCTGTCCCTGTAGATTTGGAGTGCGCTTTCCCTGCATGTCTGATGCTTATGATAGAGACTTTGTACGGATGGCCAGGGAGACGGCCCAAGAACTAGGCTGTGACTCTTTCCTCCAGGAGGGTGTTTACTGCATGTTGGCAGGACCGTCCTATGAGACGATTGCAGAATGCAGGGTTCTACAGAAGCTTAGGGCGGATGCTGTGGGTATGTACTGTAAGACTACATAACACTACTATCAAAAATGTTATGAGTGGGTAAGACATAGTGCGTGTATTACAGCTTATATAAATGCGTATGCAAAGTATTGTTTTATTTTAGAATTTTTATTTGCAATTTATTCTGCAAGGATGCATTAAATTGGTTAAAAAAGTGGCATCTCTTTATGCTACATAAGATTTCTATTTCAAATAAATGCTGTTCTTATAAACTTTATTTTTTCATCAAAAAATACATAATGGTTTATACAAAATTATTAAGCCACGCAGCTGTTCAACATTGGTAATGATGAGCGCCATCTTGAGCGCCAAATCCACATATTAGAATGATTTCTGAAGGATCATGTGACACTGAAGATTGGAGTAATGGCTGCTGAAAATTCGGCTTTGCCATCACAGGAATAAATTATTTTGAAAATATATTAAAATAGAAAACAGTTATTTAAATAGTAACAATATTTCACAATATTACTGTTTTTACTGTATTTTTCATCAAATAAATGCAGTTTCTCTGTAGGTATGAGTACCGTTCCAGAGGTGGTGGTCGCTCGTCACTGTGGGATGCGTGTGTTTGGACTCTCCCTTATTACCAACAAAGTAGTGAGTGACTACAACAGCACAGAAAGGGTTAATCATGAAGAGGTCCTGGAAACCACCCGTATGCGAACCAAAGACCTGCAGAACATAGTCAGCAATTTAGTGACAAAAATGTAGTGTACCACATTTACCAAAAATCTTGATATACTTGATTTGCACGTAGACAGCTAACAATGTAGAATGACATACAGTGAATGCTCCTTAATGCTTTCTCATGTATCTTATTCAGGTTTAAAGTAACTTTATGAACTTTCCAGTGCCTCAAGGCTCTCCGAGTCCAAATTTAGGCTAGGTTCATTTTGTTTACAGTTGATATTATCCATACTGCAGTGTATACTGTGGTACTAAAACATCACTGTGAGACTAGGTAATAATATGACAAATATATTGCATAATGCATTCACATCCTTCCTGAAATGCATGTTAAGAACAACTGAAAATAGAAGCATTACAGAAGTATCAGTATTCTTGTCATTATCTCTTGAAAGAAGAGTTAAAGAACAAACATGCATGAAAAGGGATAAACTTACACTGCAATACAATGATGTAATTTTCTCAACTGTATGAAAGGGAATTCAGTTGCAAATACCAAATGAGGAGTTACAGTGCTAAATAATCCATTAATATATTACATAAATTACATATTTTATTGTTTTAGTTTATTAACTTGTCTAGATGTTTCCAAAGAAATGTACAGATGTTTAAATATGTTTTCTGCAAAAAATATATAGACAAATATCTTTAAAATTATTTGAGATATTTGATAGATGTTTAACTGTCTGTAGGAATGTGATGTATTTTAACTTTATTTTCACTCAAATATTAAAATATAAAAAAATAAATTGATATATTGCTGTGTGGTGGTGTAATCCTTTGTGTTCTGTCCTTCCATTTTCCAATTCTGAGACCCTGTGCAAATGCACAGTATATAAAAACTATGATAATCAGAGATTAAAACTGCACAGTCTTTTGTCATGCCATATTAAATATAAGACTAAATATAAGATTTTATCTTGTGTTTATAGCAAAGGCCCCGCAGTGATCAATATGAATCATTTCCTGCAATGCATATATGTAGAGAGCAAGATCAGAAGAAGTTTGTATACATTACACCCTGCAAAACACATATAAGTGAATGAATAGGCATCTCACTTAACCCCCTCATGTCACTACATCATTGATAAAGCATGCCAACCCACCTCTGAAGTAGTGATGAAATAAAAAATTAACATCTTGCAGCTAGTCTGTCACCAAGCAAAAACCTTAAAGCAAAACATAATGCAATATATCAACTCAATATATCAAAGTTCATGTTTAAAGCAATTTTACTTACTGTTTCTTTTTAAATATTTGTGAAATTTACTAGCAATTTCTAAGTGAAAATAGTTTCGACATTATATTTTTTCAGTGTAGCGAAAAGCAGTACGCTTTTTAAGTCATTTGTGACCAGTCCATGAATACTGATTCCATTTTGTATTTCACATGACAGATGTGTGAGAGATCTGTGCTAGAAACCTCTGCACACACCAGATTTTTGGAGGAAACAATCTTTTAGAGAAAGGAGGTTAATCTGTCAGACGAAGCCTCTGCCCTTGCCGATGATAACAGAGCTGCAGATCAGTCTGTTATTCAGACTTTCACAAAATATTTATGGAAAGCCAGTTGTGCTGACTCTGCCCTGAAACATCACAGTCCCTGTGAGCCATTAGTGAAGCGGTAACTCATATGCAATTAGCGACGGGCCATTTGCTGAAATATTCGAGGCTTGATGCCCATGATGTGCACAGCAGTGACGGTACTTCCACTCAATGCTTTTCTAGAGGAACAGAGGAAGTCAGAAAATTTTATGATCTGTTTTGATCTTACACATTTATGTTCTGCTCTCTCTCTCTCTCTCTGACATATTATCTCATTTGAAAATCTTGTTTCTCTCTGTAGCTGTTTTCCTCTGAAATTCAACTTTCTGCTCAGCATTCTTTATTTCTGGGTCTTCAAGTATTTCAGACAGCACTACACTGATAGCACTACAAAAAATGTTTGGAATTTTTATGAAAAAAATATCTTAGTAGGTTAAGTTAAAAGTTTCAGGTCAGTAAGATTTAATATATATTATTTTATAGGACTATACAGTATATTAAGTTGACCAAAAGTGACAAAAAAGCCATTTATAATGTTACAAAAAAACTATTCCAAATGAATGTTCTTTTGGACTTTCTATTCATCAAAGAAACATGAAAAATAATGTATCATGATTTCTACAAAAATATATTATACAAAAATATAGAAAACAGTTGTTTAAAAATTTAGAATTATTCTAATACAATGTTAATAATAATAATAATAATAATAATAATAATTCATTACATTTATATAGCGCTTTTCTAAGCACTCTACATTGTGAGGGGGGTATCTCCTCATCCACCACCAGTGTGCAGCATCCACCTGGATGATGCGACGGCAGCCATAGTGCGCCAGAACGCCCACCACACACCAGCTTATTGGTGGAGAGGAGACAGAGTGATGAAGCCAATCAGCAGATATGGGGATGGTTAGGAGGCCATGATGGTCAGAGGCCAATGGGCAAATTTGGCCAGGATGCCGAGGTCACACCTCTACTCTTTTCGAAAGACATCCTGGGATTTTTAATGACCACAGAGAGTCAGGACCTCAGTTTAACATCTCAACCAAAGGATGGTGCTTGTTGACAGTATAGTGTCCCCTGTCACTATACTGGGACATTAGGACCCACACAGACCACAGAGTGAGCACCCCCTGCTGGCCTCACTAACACCTCTTCCAGCAGCAACTTAGTTTTCCCAGGAGGTCTCCCATCCAGGTACTGACCAGGCTCAGCCCTGCTTAGCTTCAGTGGGCAACCAGTCTTGGGCTGCAGGGTGATATGGCTGTCATTACTGTTTTTATCAAACAAATGCAGCCTTGGTGAGCATAAGAGAACTCAAAAAGATTAAAAAGGATTACTAATACCAAACTTTTGAATGGTAATGTATATCATGAAAATTATTTGAGATTTAAAGAGGCAATACATATGCATAGATATATATTTGAAAGTAAACAGTGTGAATTACAGTATTTTTACTGTAAAATATTGTTAAAAATAATAAAAAAGGTTATTAATATTGTATTTTTATATTTGATTAATTATGATTTTTTATTACCATTAAAAATATAATATAATATAATATAATATAATATCCTTCATCTGTTGTAGGTGAACTAAAAACAACTGATAACAGCTCTCAGTGATATGTGTCGGGTCCCCGCGATAGCTGCAACATTTACAAATGTTTACAGAACAAGCGGGAACCCAGTGTGCCTATAGCTTTCTCTATTTCTGTTTTATCACGTGATAGAAAGTCTAAAGCCCCGTTCACACCAAGAACGATAACTATAAAGATAACTATAAAGATAACGATATTAGACCTTAAAGGGTTAGTTCACCGCAAAATGAAAATTATGCTGAGTTTTACTCACCCCCGAAGCATCCTAGCTGTATATGACTTTCTTCTTTCAGGTGCAACAGTCCTCAATGAAACAGCCCCTGTTGAAACCCCCTGCAGGACTGTCAGGAGAGGTGGAGGTGTGGCTGCTCTATTTAAAGATGTCTATATCAATGCAAGCAAGTGTCATTTGGTCAGTACTTGTCTTTTGAGAATTTTTAAATCATTTTAAAAGTTTTTTAATTCCTTGTTTTATTGTTGTGATTATTTTTTTAATGATTATTTTACTTCCTTTTATGTAAAGCACTTTGAATTACCATTGTGTATGAAATGTGCTATATAAATAAACTTGCCTTGCCAATATAATATAATATAAGTTCATATAAGTTTTGAGGAAAAACAATCATTAATATCAATGGTGGATTTCTCCCAATCTGTTCAAAACAATACCTATGTATTTTAATTCCCAAAACTATGTCTCTCATGCAGACGTTCACATACTGTATCCTCACGAACAAATCTCCGATATATTGGGCATAACAGACCTTTAAATCAGAAGCCTGATATTTCACTCTCTGCCCTCCCAACGCATCCCTCCACGCTACAATCGCTCCCATGATTTTTCTTTTTCATTTCACTTTAATCAGCCTGCTGTGATCGTGTGCTTGATGGAGAGCTACACTTTATATCTCACCATCTCTCTCAAATCATGTTTGCAGCAAGGGACACCAGGAAGAGTGAGAGAAAACCCAGGGGACATGCTGGCATTAACCATCTATACCCATTCTTGGAACAGGGAATCCACTGAGGAAGAGGGACCTTATTGGAAAGAGAGATCTCATTTATCCATAAACAGGCCACAGTTGAGTGAGAGTAGGGATGTAATTCTGAGCATTGTTCAAAGGTCAGTGCCTTCCTTACATCCACATTCATGACATCTCTCTTGCTAAAATGATAATCCTCTGTCTCATTAATATACAGTGGAGGGCAAAATTGTGAAAGACAGGAGTATTATATTTAACTAAAAGCATAATACTCAAAATAAAATAAATGTAATACAAAATAAAATATAATATTAAAAATGTATTTTAAGTTAGTATTTTCAAATAACTCTAAGCAACACTGAAATAAAAATTAATAAAAACTACAGGCATAATTTTTTTAAATATTGAATACAATTGACAGACACAAAATAAATAACAAAAAACATGAAAAATAATGTATCATGATTTCTAAAAAAAAAAATTATATTATATTATGTAAAAATATAAAAAACAGTACTTTTAAATTATTATTCTAATACAATATTACTGTTTTTATCAAACAAATGCAGCCTTGGTGAGCATAAGAGACTGCAAAAATATTAAAAAGGCTTACTAATACCAAACTTTTAAATGGTAATGTATATAGTGAACATTATTTTAAATTAAATGATTTCATGAAATATAATATTAAAAATGTATTTTAAGTTTCAAATAGTTTAACTTGATTTACTTCAAATTCAAATTCTGGGATTTAAAATCACATTTAAATCCAAAAAATAAATAGAACTTCATGACAAAGTTAAAGGGGTCATATGATGCGATTTCAATTGTTCCTTTCTCTTTGGAGTGTTACAAGCTCTTGGTGCATAAAGAAGATCTGTAAAGTTGCAAACACTAAAGTCTCAAAACCAAAGAGATATTCTTTATAAAAGTTAAGAGTTAACCACGTCCCCCTAAAACGGCTCGTTCTAACACGCCCCAAGATTCTGTACTTACTAGGTAAACACTGACTTTGCAGTGGCTTTGATCATGTGATTCTTTGTACAGACATGTTCTTGCGTCAAGATGCTCTTTAGATCACTCACAAATCATGATGGAGAAGTTTTTTACACAAACTTGTGATGTTCATTTTACTTTTTCATTTCAATTTTCATTTATAATTAAAGTATTCATTCATTTCAAATTATTCATTCATTCAAATATAACTTGTATGTATTAGGTATTAAATGTACTAAACATACAAAATAGAAGCATTTTTTACTAGTGTCTCAGATTTTGGACCCCACTGTATTTGGGGGAATTTGATCAATCACACTGTAAAGGTGGAATTGGAGATATAGAGGAAACAGACTGAGACATCTCTGCTGAATAAAGACTTTCCACACTTCTAAAC